GTATGGTATGGTATGGTATGGTATGGTATGGTATGGTATGGTATGGTATGGTATGGTATGGTATGGTATGATACAGTATGGTATGGCATGGTATGGTATGGTTTAATACAGTATGATACAGTATGATACAGTATGATACAGTATGATACGGTATGATACGATACAATATGGTACCATACAGTACAATAAGGTAAGATACAGTATGATACAGTATGTTATGGTACAATGTCGTATGATACCTTACAATAAGTTAAGTTATGTTACAGTATGGTAAAGGATGGTACGATACAGTGAGGTATGGTATGGTACGATAAGGTACAATACAGTATGTATGATACGGTACAATTAGGTAAGGTCAGGTCAAGTCAAGTAAGGTAAAGTACGGTACAATATGGTATGGTATTATGAGTTATGGTACAGTACGGCACAATATAACATATCAATAGCATAACGATGTACCTTTGGCATCAATAAAGTATTTTTAAATTGATTTAATTGAATTGAATGACATGGCACGTTACGATGTGGTATGTTATACAGTACACTATGGTACARTATTGTTTGGTATACAGTATTTGTATCTAATTTGTACTTTCTTAGGGTTTATAAAATATCATAAACCACTATAATATTTTTGAGATTGGAGTTGTTTCAAGTTGACAGAGATCTTATTTTTCACTCGAACTGACAATTTGCTCGTCAATCAAAATAAAACCTATTTCTTCAAACGGGTAATTTGAGAAAATTTTCCCAACAGGTAAGATATTAATAGTTTGTACCCTTTCCACTGAAACCCACTTCAAAAATCTGAACTACTGTTTTAAGATGTTTATTTTATTAACTTAAAAACTGTAATATTTGTACATTTTCTAATCTGAACAATGGATTTGAATAACTAATTTTATTATCAGAACTTTTTTTTTCCATTGTCCCCCCCCCCCATTTTTTCTGCTGGACAAATATTTAACTTTGTGTGTTTGCACGCTGATGATACTGTGTAAACATTTCTCCTATCCAGTGTGCAAACAACAAGTTAACCCTGAACATTTGTCTTCGTTAATACATAAAACTTCATTACCAAATGTCATTAAGTTCACACTCATAACGAACACGGCATTAAGCTTGATTTTATTTTGCTTTTTCAAAGCATTGAGCCAAAAAGCAAACATAATTTCACATGCAACCATCTCAAAAAGACCAAAAAAAAAAAAAAACCATGCACTGCTTGTTGTATTAAAGCATGCTTGAATACACAGTGAAGCAGCAGTCAGATTTCCCTGTGAAGCATCTCCACTCGCTTCAAACCTTGTCATCCTTGCTGAAACATACGATTTAAGATCGTTTTTTTTTTCTTGTCATGTCATTGTCATTCCATTCCACAGGTCCCCCCGTAAACGTTACATGCAATATTTTTATCAACAGTTTCGGCTCTGTCACAGAGACAACCATGGTGAGTTCTTCTGCTATTTTGATCAATGTTTTCCCTGTAAGTTGTGTCAATGTGTTATCTATGCCTCAACCCGCAGGTCCACCCGTTAATGTTACCTGCAACATATTTATCAACAGCTTTGGTTCTATAGCAGAAACTACAATGGTGAGTGGAGTGTTGTGCTTGGACATATTTAAAAGCCCTGAATCTTTTTTTTTTTTACCCAACCTAGTGTCTGTGTTTTACATTAATCCAGACCCATTGATTATTCGATGGGTAGGCTGTTCAAGAAAGCATTAGTTTCTGATCTAATGAGGCTGTTTGCAGATGTTCAGGTTTAATACCTCATCCAACAAATTCCAAACAAGCGGCCCATATGAGACAAATGGAAGAGTGCTTTCAGAGATGCACAATATGCAATTGGAGAAGCTGTCAGAGGGGTGAAGACATAAAACCTACAAGGCTGCATCAAATCTAATCAAGATTAAAGGATTCCTAATGAGCGATAATAACAGCTTAGATAATAAATGGAGAAAATTCATGTTCATTCGAGCTGTAGCCGGAAGACACGAGGCTGCCAGGGAATTACACCGTTTTAGACAGGCATGCAAATACTCGGAGCCGCCAATATGCTGATGAAATGTCAAACAACATAAAAGCTGTTCATCATTGTGACATATCAATTACTCCGAGCGAGCGAGCTTTCTGTCAGTTCATACTAAGAACCGTAAAGTCAGAGCAGCTCTCATTCGGGTCTGCTAATCCATCATTTATTTACCTTTCTGTAATTTAGCAAAAAAATAAAATAAAATAAAAATAACACACAGCAAAGTTCTGAAAAGGTCAGATTTGTAAAGGAAGCTCGCGACACGTTTTAATCAAAAGTACATGTGGACGATGATTAGAACTCCATGAGCACCAGCAAGTGATGGATAGATTTGCACAATTCAAAATCGTTTCCGCTCACCATTATGTTTATTATTGTTATTTTTTTTACATTATGAAAATGTTTTTTGTCAGTACATTAGGAAACACARGAGGGCTTTAATTGAAGGTGAAAGTTGAAACTGAATGTGCTAATTGGTAGAGATGTGACGTTTGCGAACGACCCAAATCTTTTGAACGACCTTTTTTTTACAGAGAATATGATCCGAGTCTGTTTTGCTCCTCCTTCACTTTTTCACTGAAAAAGTGGAGGAGTACAGCAGCTGGGGGGTGGGGGGTGGGTGTCCGCTTGACAAAACACATAGCTACACCCATGCACAGCGTGATATCATTTTGCTATGTGGTGACGTAATTTGTTCAAATTCAAAGGGCTCTTTTGAACGGATCTATGAAACAATCGACTCCTCAAGATCTGTTATCTCTACAAAGAGTCATTTATCCCATCTCTACAAATTGGTACAGTGTATTATATACAACACATTTTAATGTTGGATCTTTAAAAACAACCGTGTAGATGACATGATTTTGTTGGCATTGTGTACATGAGAGTTTAAATCATGATGAGCAACCATGGCTGTTTAATCAGACCCTGAAACAAAGAGGTATTACAGTTGTGGTGGGAAGTTTACATTTGCTCATGTACATGAATTATATATTTGTTTGGGTTTACTTGAATTAATCATTTTCCAGAGAGAATAAATTGTACAACTTATAACTTCAGTGACTTTTTAACAAAGAACTGGATGCACGAGTTTGATTTTTCTCTAACCTAGCAGGGCCCTTTTTTCCCATTGGGGTGTATATACCTTGAAGGTTTGGGGAAACCATTCCAGAGGCTTTATGTTAGCCTCCCCTAGCCAATCAGAAACCAGTTTTATTTATGTTTGGTATTTTCTCTTTCTGGAACACCCAAGTGCGTCTAAGTGAAGTGAACTGTGAAGTTGAGTAATTTGAGAGTAGATCTTCTTCTTTGTTGTTCAATCCACTTTGTGCAATGCACTATACTGGTAGTAAAACAGTCCCACACTATGATGCACTATGTTTGACATTTTTGTTTGGCTTTTTTGGTTTAAAAGCCTCTCCTCAGTGATGTAAAGCTTTACTGTTTGACCAGTTCATGGTGGTTCCTGGTCCTAAACATTTCTACCAATTTCTGTTCATCTGTTTATTGAGGGTGTCCGCTTGGGTAGGACCATGGCAATGCAATGTTCTTGGAATATTAATTTATTAATTTATTTTTTTAGAAATGGATCCAAACGTTTTTGCAATCTTGTGAAATGTTCAGTTTTCATTTTTGAGTATCCACTGAGTTTCACGGACTTTCCCCTCTGTTCTGAGTATAACTCAGTCCAATGAATGCTGCCAAACAAATAATTTTTCATGCAGACGAGAAACTGCCACCTGCAATGAATCATGATCACTCATGACAACTGTATAAATTTTAGTACGTAAACTTCTGACTACAACTGCACATCTACCTCAATGCTTTGGAGTGTATTTTGCTTGCTTTGCGTGTTTATTTAATTCTGTTTTGTATAATACATACGTTTTATTAGGAATTTAAATAATTAATTTAAATTTATATGTGTAAATTGGTTGCATAATGAAATTTGAAAATGTCTTACAAATGTCTTGTCGTCAGCATGCATTCTCAGTACCCAAAAATCACTGTGCCGCAAAATATGCAAGGCTGCTTGTGGTCTTCGCAGGATTACAGGGTGAACATCTTCTTGCGGCAGAAGTGGAATGACCCTCGGCTGGCGTACAGTAAATACCCAGATTCCTCTCTTGACTTGGACCCGTCCATGCTGGACTCCATATGGAAACCTGACCTGTTCTTTGCCAACGAGAAGGGAGCCAACTTCCACGATGTGACCACGGACAACAAGCTGCTGCGCATCTTTAAGGATGGAACCGTCCTCTACAGTATCAGGTGACGTTCCGGACATTTTTTAAGAAATGATCTTCTGTGGAACCAAGTGCTTTGATCAATACTCCTGAACACGATCACTCCTTGCTTTTCATTTCCTCTCAAACTTCAAAGTCTGCCAATCTCAAGCATGCAATTTTAAATTGATTTTATCTGTTTTGATCACTTCTTTGAAACGGTGTAATGCACCGAACGTCAGTGGATTCCCAGGCGCTGAACAGATTTTTCTTTTATAGAAAGGAACACTGATTAAAAAGTGCAAGCTAATCTCGGGGGCTGTGGTTGAATCTAAAGCAAAGATAGGGCCTAAAGCAAGTGAAGAAAAATGAGTGTAGTTTTCTTCAGTTACTCTTTATGCAGAAAATAGTTTCAGACCAGAGCAACCCATTTGAACTGAATGGCATTTAAAAGGCCTTTCAGCTCTAAATTTAAACAAATCTCATGTACAAGGTTTGAAAATAGGCTGTCTCTCATTTCAATACAACTCCTGTCAAACACAGCCGGTAGTTTCTGCAATGATGCAACAGAACTCGGATCAATTTCGAGTCCATTTGGAGAGCAGCTCAGCGGCCGAGCGGTGCACAGGTGCTCAGGTGGAGTGAAAGAAATGAAAGGTGGTTAACTGCACTCTCCACTCATGGGAGAAACGACAGAGTGGGCAGACAGCCGGCCACAATGCATCACTGAAACAATAAGCTGGAGTAATGAAAGTGTGATGGGAACCTGCTGAAGGGAATCCCATGAGACATTCTGAAGGTTCTAATACAAGAGAGAAAATGCACCCAAAAAAAAAGAAAACGAAAATGCACCCAATACAAAAAAAAAGAAAAAGAAAAGAAAAGAATCTACAGGAATTTCATTTTTTAAGCTAAATATTTTCAAACCATCTGTCAAGGGAAAGTTCAAGGTTTAATCATTCATTTTCCTGCTAAATCAAAGAATATATTTGGGGTGTAACTTTATTTTACTTACAGGTTGACTCTCATTCTGTCGTGTCCAATGGATTTGAAAAACTTTCCTATGGATGTTCAAACTTGCACGATGCAGCTGGAAAGTTGTAAGTACAAATGTTCTCAGACGCGTGAATATATTTTTCACAGTGAGTTATTTTATATCTTTCATGACCATTTTTTTTTTCTGTTTTCAGTTGGCTACACCATGAATGACCTGATCTTTGAGTGGCTGGAGAACGGCGCAGTGCAGGTGTCGGACGGACTCACCCTGCCTCAGTTTATTATGAGAGAAGAGAAGGAGCTGGGCTACTGCACTAAACACTACAACACAGGTCAGACAGCAAACACGCAATAATACTGCTTTTATTGGGAATACTGAGTCACACTATATTACATATTATGTTGCGTGTGTGTGTGTGTGTGTGTGTGTGTGTGTGTGTGTGTGTGTGTGTGTGTGTGTGTGTGTGTGTGTGTGT